ACTGAGGGTGTGGTACAGCAGTCACTGAGGGTGTGGTACAGCAGTCACTGAGGGTATGGTACAGCAGTCACTGAGGGTATGGTACAGCAGTCACTGAGGGTGTGGTACAGCAGTCACTGAGGGTGTGGTACAGCAGTCACTGAGGGTGTGGTACAGCAGTCACTGAGGGTATGGTACAGCAGTCACTGAGGGTATGGTACAGCAGTCACTGAGGGTGTGGTACAGCAGTCACTGAGGGTGTGGTACAGCAGTCACTGAGGGGGTGGTACAGCAGTCACTGAGGGGGTGGTACAGCAGTCACTGAGGGTGTGGTACAGCAGTCACTGAGGGTGTGGTACAGCAGTCACTGAGGGTGTGGTACAGCAGTCACTGAGGGGGTGGTAGAAGAACCCGGTACTGGAGAGATAAGATATCACACAATATGCAACAATCTCTGCCACACTTATTTAGAGTACATGTGTGATTACCTGCTTTAGTTTGTGCAATTGATGTGTGCCAGTCATGGCCCATCTTCAGTGCTCAGTTTATTATGCAGAGTGCTCAGCAGGATGTGCCACCCTCGGTGAAGCCATATATTATTGAAGCACTGTTTTCTCTTTCTTTCAGTGATCATCAAATACAAGAAGTTCAACAAGTGTTCAATAACATGATACATCCTGTACACTTATGTGAAAATTTTAGTGGTGAACACACTCAACAATTTTTGTTAGAGTAACTTCTCTTATTAAGCTCCTCTAGTGTGTTTTCTTTTTTTTTTTGGGGGGGGGGGGGTAAATGCAATTAACTGATAAGCTACATTCAGAATTTAATAGTGCATATTCTGAAGGCTTTTTAACTTGCTATTTAATTATGGATGTACTTTTTCACTCACATTTATAAAAAATTGCACCATATAGAGAAGCTTTATATGAAAGCTTACTGCATTTATTAATAAAATGAACTCTCCAGGGATCATCTTTTTTAAACGTCCATTATAACTTTCTGAAAGTTTGCCGCGAGTGTGTGTGCACACGCCTGGTGTCCTGGAATGATGAACTACACTAAGTGCTACATGACAAGTAATACACTGAAATATACCTGTAATTACTTGTTAATTTTTATTAAGATAGATACAGATGGAGCTTTATAGTTCAGAGATTGGAGTAGGAAGAAAGGTTAGAGAGAGAGAGAGAGAGAGAGAGAGAGTGAGTGACAAGGTCAGAGAAATACGGACAGTAAAAATTGGAGAGATTAACATAAATAAATTGCAGTCAGGACTATTTCAAAAAATAAAACTGCTGTGCAGGGTTAGAAACATTGCCATACTGTTGTAAAAACACTTACTCTTGCAAGACTAAAGGTAATATAACTGTAGATCTTAAGCTACATTATTACAACTGATTATTAGTACGTACATCAAATATAAATAATCATCATTTGGAAGTACAGTACAGTAATTACATAGCTGTAAAATATATATCATAGAAAGAGTCAGCAAGTATAGGACAAATTTACAGGTACTGTACAGTATAACAAAATTTTTAGTCTAGAATAAAATATGCACAGTGGTACCTCGGTATATGTCCAGCTCCCAACTCGATAAACTATGTAAGTGTATTTTTGTAAGTGCTTTTGTAAGTAATTTTGGGGGTCTGAAACGGATTAATGTACTTTACATTAGTCCTTATGGGAACAAATTCGTTCGGTACTCGAAGAGATTGGGACTTGAACAGCCTTCTGGAATTTATTAAGGTCGTATACCGAGGTACCACTGTATGTAATAGTGTAGTTTAGACTGTTTTTATAATTTGATAAATGTGAATGAATATTGTAGTTTTAATATTGATATCTGTACAGTATTATACTCATAATGTATTCACAAAAAATACATTACATTGTGTGTTAATACACAACAGATACTGTAGGAAGTTATCTGAGAGATTTGTAGTATAAAGGATGGCAGTTTCAATTGTGAACACTTACCTTACAAAGGTCCCTTATGCTGGGTCAACTTAATTCACTGGTGAGGGTTGAGTAGTTTGTTCCTGGGTGTAGGAGTCTCTTCTCTGGGTGAGGCATTATTTCCCCTCACAAGATGCTTGTCTAAGAGACCAGTATCTCTCTCCCCTCAAGATAGGTTCTTTGATACCAGTGAAGCAGTCTTACTCCAGCAAGTTAGACCTGACCTCTCTTCACCTTGAGCCATATTACCTCCCATTTCCCCAGGTGCTGCATGACCCTTATGGGTTTAGCACTACCCCTCCCCCCTGAATGTAATAATACATATGCAGTATGGAATGCTAAAAATACTTTGAAAAGTTTTACTTGATTTATGATTATGATTTATGTACTATGAAAGTGAATTGATCAGAACAGGAACAAGTTGTTTGTGATAGTGTCAATTTGATAGTGTTAAAAACAGAATGTTGACAATACTGAAGAACCAAACAGTTCTAGTGTTTTGTCAATAAAATGGAAGAAGCAAACCAGATAAAAAACAAAAATTCACAATTCTGTGACTGGAACAATACACAAATAACCCACACATAGAAGAAAGAAACTTATGACTACATTTTGGTCTGACTTAGACTGTTAACTAGTCACATACCTGATGAAGGAGGCAGCATAGTGATGTTAAGCTACTATAGAACAATAGCATTAACATCACACCATAAATCTAGGAGGATGTTAAGAAGTTCACTTAATTTTATATAGAGGCAACAGCTTCACATCCTGGGTCATTATGGCTTTAGAGAAGGAAGATCCTCTCTTGCAGCAAAATTACAGAGATATTGGAAGAAAATCCATATACAGATGTGCTTTACACATATTTTGATCCCTGAGGTACAGCCTTATCTTGGTGGTGAGCTTGTATTGCCTTCTATTACCCAGCTGAATCAGTGGGTGCTCGTAGGTATGAATGGTGGATAAGGCGCCTCCTGCTGATTTGGCTGGTGGTGACTGACCGAGTTAATAATTGCACACTTTTTCCAAACACCAATACTTGCTTTAGAGACCATGATTAATCACAGTGTACTGTACAGTATTTTATATTATAATAAAGTGTAGATAAATCCAGGCAGACAAAGAACTAGTAATAATTCTTTATTTCTGCATGCATAGACAGTAACAGTCCCCACCCAAGATTGTTCAACTGCCTCCTAGTATACATAAAGGGGATTACCAGTAGACCCCTGGCTGTCTTCAAGAGGGAGCTGGACAGGCACCCAAAGTCAGTACACGATCAGCCGAACTGTGGTTTGTACGTCAGTTTGCGTGTGGCCAGCAGTAACAGCATGGTTGATCAGGCCCTTATCCAGGTCATCGACCAGACTGTGGGGCATTGACCTCTGAAACTCCCTCCAGGTATACTTCAGGTATACCTATATGCTGCTACTCGAAGTATCAATGACAGACAATTCCAGCTTATTTTTTCTATTGTTACCAAAATACATTAAATAGAGGTTCATTAACTCATGGTTTTACTTTACCTGCATATTGCATAGCCTCCATAACATAAACATTAATTGATAAACTTGTGTATGAAACATAAGTTGTCCCCTGACACCACTGGAGGGTAGACCTCACTCCACCCAGACACCACTGGAGGGTAGACCTCACTCCAGTCTTCTTCGTATAGGTGGTGGCTCCCAGACACTACCAGAGGGTAAACCTGACTCCATCCGGATACCACTGGAGGGTAGCCGTCACTCCAGTCTTGGCATGGGTGGTGGCTCCCAGACACCACTGGAGGGTAGGCCTCACTCCAGTCTTGGCAGGGGTGGCAGCTCCCGGACACCACCAGAGGTTAGACCTTACTCCAGTCTTGGCAGGGTTGGCAGCTCCCAGACACCACCAGAGGTTAGACCTTACTCCAGTCTTGGCAGGGGTGGCAGCTCCCAGACACCACTGGAAGGTAGACCTTGTTCCAGTCTTGGCAGGGGTAGCGGCTCCCAGACACCACTGAAGGGTAGACCTCACTCCAATCTTGGCAGGAGTGGCGGCTCCAAGATGCCACCAAAGGTTAGACCTTACTCCAGCCTTGACATGGTCGACTGATGATATCTAAGAAGACAAAGACACACTTCAAAACAAATAAATAACAAAAAGGCACAATACCCTGACTGGAACAATACACAAATAACCCACACATAAGTGAGAGGAGCTTACAACAACGTTTTGGTCTGACTTGGACCATTTACAAAGTCACAGTGACTTTGTAAATGATCCAAGTAGGACCAAAACAAGTTACGATTCAGAAGGCTGTTCGTATCTCGAATTGTTCATAAGTCGTTACTTTTGCCATTTTTCTATTGTTACAATTATTATTATTGTTTTTAATATTATTATCATTATTATTATTATTGTTCTCTCTCTGCGCCCTTGTTCATTGAAGACATACAGACAATACTGTACAGTATCAGTAATGTATGGCTCTTAATAAAAAGGTATATTTTAATAATAAATACTGTAATAAAAAACTTATTACCTTTTTAATTGGTACAATAAACTTGAGGTGATGTCTGTTCATATGTCCAAATGTTCGTAACTCGAATGTTCATAAGTAGGGTAGCGTCTGTACTTCAAAACAAACTTTATTAACAACATTTTGTCGTATGCAGAGTTTGAGCATGATAAAGCTCCACAGAGCTTAACTTGTTCCAACAAAAGCTTGTAGTGAAGGTTGTGTGTGTGTCTTTTCAACAACTACTACTGTAAGTGACTGCTGCTGCTGCTGCCGATGGTCAAGCAAGTGAAGTATCATAACATTTGTCAATGATTGTCTCTCTCATGGTTCACACAAATTATGTAAAGTAACTGTTTTGGATCTTTTGCCTTTCAAGAAGGCTGCCTTGCTGCTGGTGAAGAGCTCTTCATCCAGGGAATTGAAACTACCATCTCCTTGAATCAAACCTAATCACTTCTCATTCCTCATGAGTGTATTACTATGAGTCATTCATCACCATCTGTAATTTCTTACATTTATAAAATTCTTCATGAGTATTTACTGTACTTGCCAGATTCTATGATAACTGTGCTTCCACCTGTGTGTGAGCGAAGTCGGCACTCCAGTGTGTCCTCTCACGGCTCTCATGACTCCAAGGATGCTGCAACTGATCAGACAACACTTGGACTATCCTCGTCTTACTTCACACGACCTCCACTGGAAGACAGGTGTGAAGCAGTCTCATCTTGTACAATATTTAATGGTACAATACAGCCAATCCCTCAGTATAAGTACAGTGGAACCTCGGTTTTCGTGATTAATTTGTTCCAGAAAGTCTGATGAAAATCAAATTCAACGAAAACTGAAGCATTATTTCCCATAAGAAAAATGTAAATCCAGTTACATAATCTGTTCCAGATACCCAAAAATATTAACAAAAAATACATTTTATAGAGAATAACAATAATTTTACAAACAGAAAACAATGAGAAATAAATATAAAGGACTAATGAAATGGATAAATGAACATTTAACATCACTTTTACCTTTATTGAAGACACTTGTTGGTGTATGGAAGACGGCGAGGAGAGGAGAGGGAGGAGGAAAGGTTATTGTTTAGAAGGGGAATTTCTCTTCATAAGGACTTCAGGTATCAAGGCCCTATCCGGGGTTACTTCCCTTCTTTGTCTTTTACTGGCACTAGGACCATCTTAAGAGTCATTGGACCCTTGTCGCACAAAAAATCTATCCAGAGAGGTCTGTTTCTGGCGTCTCTTTAAGATTTTCCTAAAATGGGACAAGGCATTGCCATTGAATATGTTGCAGACACAGCTTGCAACAGCTTTGTTAGAGTGACATTTCTCCACAAAACTTTGCAACTCATTCCACTTTGCACACATGTCCTTAATCATTGAAGAAGGCACATTCTTCCCTCTCTCTTTCTCCTCCTTTGAAGCAATTTCCTAAGCTGCAGTGACTTTCATACTTTGCTACTTTTCACTTTCCACTTTGCCATTTTCGTACTTTGCTACGAGTTCTTTCTTGAATTCTATAGTGTTTCTCGCCTTCTTTATCAAAGGGCTGGCACTTGACACTTTCTTTAGCCCCATGGTGGCTTATTTAGCAGTTGCACTCAATAAACAAGCACAAAAAACAATTGGTTATTATGAATTGTTATCCAAACGCATGGGGAAATGCTCACTCAACGAGAAACAAAGCCAGACTGAGTCAGAACGTGTGGGATGATTTGCATGGGCGCAGGCAGGTGGACACATTTGGTATGGCGGACCACTGTCAGCTCTACGAAAACCGAGCGGATGTATAAAAACTGGGACAACATTTAGACAAAAAAAGTCGTCGAAAACTGACTCCTATGAAAACCGGGGCATACAAAAACCGAGGTTCCTCTGTACATGTATAGTGACACATCCAGATTTGTGGTTTTTTTATTTAACAATTTTACTGAAGTCTTCTGTGAATAATTTTGAATTTAAGTTTATTTTTCCATACCAGTTTAGTTTAGCTTCACACAAATGCTTAAAAACAAACAACTTTATTTCTTTCTGCAGTATGCAAAATATAGTTTATATATATTTTTTTTTTAACAAGTCGGCTGTCTCCCACCGAGGCAGGGTGACCCAAAAAGAAAGAAAATCCCCAAAAAGAAAATACTTTCATCATCATTCAACACTTTCACCTCACTCATACATAATCACTGTTTTTGTAGAGGCACCCAGATACAACAGTTTAGAAGCATATACGTATAAAGATACACAACATATCCCTCCAAACTGCCAAGATCCCAAACCCCTCCTTTAAAGTGCAGGCATTGTACTTCCCATTTCCACTACTCAAGTCCAACTATATAAAAATAACCAGTTTCCATGAATCCCTTCACTAAATATTACCCTGCTCACACTCCAACAGCTTGTCAGGTCCCAAAAACCATTCGTCTCGATTCATTTCTGTCTAACACGCTCAGCATGCTTGCTGGAAGTCCAAGCCCCTCGCCCACAAAACCTCCTTTACCCACTCCCTCCAACCTTTTCAAGGACAACCCCTACCCCGCCTTCCTTTGCCTACAGATTTATATGCTCTCCATGTCATTCTACTTTGATCCATTCTCTCTAAATGACCAAACCACCTCAACAACCCCTCTTCTGCCCTCTGACTGATACTTTTATTAACTCCACACCTTCTCCTAATTTCCACAATCCGAATTTTCTGCATAATATTTACACACACACTGCCCTTAGACAGGACAACTCCACTTCCTCCAACCGCCTCCTCACTGAAGCATTTACAACCCAAGCTTCACACCCATATAAGAGTGTTGGTACCACTCTACTTTCATAGATTCCCTTCTTTCCCTCCATAGATAATGTTTTTGTCTCCACATATACCTCATGCACCACTCGCCTTTTTTCCTTCATCAATTCTATGGTTAACCTCATAAAAATTTAAAAATATTGTTAAGCTTAAAGGAAAGCCACTAGCATGTGGTGCATTTTGGAAACAGCAATGCTAATGCTTACAATTCTCTCTTCTTTCTTGTGAATGTCAGTACTTATGAATGTCAGTATTAGTGAGGTTCAGGCAATATTTCAGGTGGTATACACATGATATTAATGTATATGCTGTATATGCATAGATGTGTGTAAATAACAAAAAGGCACAATACCGTGACTGGAACGATACACAGATAACCCGCACATAAAAGAGAGAAGCTTACGACGACGTTTCGGTCCGACTTGGACCATTGACTTTGTCAATGGTCCAAGTCGGACCGAAACGTCGTCGTAAGCTTCTCTCTTTTATGTGCGGGTTATTTGTGTATAGATGTGTGTGTTCACATCCTAATTTTTTTTTCTGAATTTGTTGATAGTTTTTGCCCCTGTTTTATTTCCCTTCAGTTCATGGAAAATTGGGTGAGAATTCTTCCTTCATAAGCAATGTGTGTCTTAGACAATGACTAAAATACTGGAAGTGTTGGGCTTGTAACATCTTCTGTATCACTGCACATTGTTCTCAAACATGACATCTCCACTGCCCCCAGCCTCTTCCCTTACTGCGGTGTTTAATCAAAACCCATGACTCACATCAAGAATAATAATAATGCTAATACAGACATAAAATTACAATGACAGTCCTAGGGAATAATTTTTTCTTCATATCCTTTTTTTTTTTTGTTTAGTGGTTTTCACAAAGTTATATTTTTGTGATTCACATGTGTTATACTGTTTTCTGGTGTGAAAGGTACCTATGTTGTGCATTCTGTTTCTGCATCCTCCTCCTCTTTGGTGAAACCTCATTACCTCCCATTTCCCAGACGCTATATGACCTCTATGAATTTGTCATTTCCCACAAAACAGGTAATAATAATTATGTACAGTAAATCTTCAATATAACTTACTAATAAAGAGGAACCTCCGAGTTGGCTAGTAAATCAGAATATTGCTGAAAAATCACAAAGTTACTACTGCATATCTAATATACAGGTCGGCCATCACTAATCTGTCATCATTGGGACCTGTAGTGTGCCGGATTGGTGAGTTTACCAGATTACAGAGTGTTTAGGTTACAATACACTTAATTAACCTATCAGTAGAGACTGCTACATCTTCATCATTTTCATCACTGCTTTCTCCTCCACTGGCTTGCTGCTGTTGATTTACAACCATCTGCACAATTTCTGAGTCAGTATAATGATGAAATTTGAAATTATGCTAGCCAAAATTAGTGCTGGATAACTGATGGAACCGGATAACTGATTGCCGGATTAGTGATGACTGACCTGTACTGCTCTTTACTACACAGTATACAGATATGTTCTAACAAAAATTTAAAATAAGAAGTTAAAAAATGCAATTTACTCAGCAGATTTTGTCCATTATATCAAGGTTTGTCATATGTAGGGTTTACTGTATAACTCAGCCATATTCAGGATGTCCTCTGTCCTCTCACTGAGGTGCACTTGGCATTCCTCAGAGCATCAAAGACAAGTGGTAGCACAAGTATTACAAACTTTTTATAATTGCACTTAAGCACAAGAAGGATAAGTTGTGACCAAAATTCATGCTAGTTGTGTGACTACCATGTGAAACCATCTATTGTGTTGTAGTGGACACTGCAGACTACTTCAGAAGAGCAGAAATTGTTAGTCCTGTGCTATGGTTGGCACACTTCATTATTAACGCAAACTGATGATTAAACTAGATGAAATTTTAGTGCGTCTTGCACCATTATCAACTGAATTCATTACCTGTGAATATAAAAGAGACACTGTCTGTTTATAAATTCAAGTCTCTTCTTAAAAATCACTTACTCACCTACAACTAAATAAATACTGAATAACTGTATCTCATAAATGTATAATCTGTTAACCTATCAAACTTTGTTTTTTTAATTACATTACCTAATAGAATACTCCATTCTATTGAATGCACAGCAACTCAGCAAATGACCATATGACCTGTCTTTGAAATACTCATTTGTGCTTAATTGTTATTACTATAATTTTTACCACTGATTATATCATTGCTTAGTTAATCTTAAGTTAATTTTAAGCCTGCCCATAATACTCTGCATATAAGGGGCTTTTGGCATGTTACACTTAACCACTGTATTTCTTTGTACATCTGTGTATCATGTCCAAATTAAATAAATAAAACACCATTCAGAGCAGATCAAAGTGCAGTCTAGTTTGATCTCTGATTTTTGGGTTAATTTAAAGATAAATCTATCATGTTAAGGTTCAAAGTGCTGTATAGCTCTTGTGGCTTAGCACTTCATTTTGATTATAATAATAATAATAGGGTTGAAAGTAAAAGATTTGCCATAAAAGATTTGCCAGTTGTATCAGTCCTGAAGTCTGGGCATTGTCCTCTTTCCCTACAGTACATGAGTGCATATGTTGACTCAGTACACATCCTTAAAGTGGAGAGGGTGTCTTCATGCCAGCAAAGGGCAGTTGATCCATGAATTGAAGCTACCTTTTCCTTCCTTGGAATAAACCTTATGGCTTTATATATCCTGGCTACTGCATGATCCCAATGGTTTAGCACTTCCCCACAAATATACCATAATATTGAGAGTGATAATATTCACACAGTAATTGTTGCTCATTGTGTCATACTGATGCTTATCTGGTGTATCCTACATCCTCATTTGTAATACTGTACTGTTATATTGACACTCTTCTCCCATAATAAATGGTAATAGCTTATTTATCCAATCTTTTTTTTAGATATTGTTAGCTAGATCTTAAAAGTGTTGTTATAGATGCTGATTTTAACTTTAAATGGTTCTGCCACCAGATCTAAATACGAAAAACTGCAAAACGCCCATGATGAGGAGAGTGAGGATGAAGGGCATGCTGAGTCAACAGGTCAAAGTAAGGAGCAGCAGCCCCTACAACAGCTGTCAATTGAATCGGCAGAGACTAGACAAAAGAGGCATCGTCGAGAGAGAAAAAAGAGAGGGAAGAGTAAAAAGGAAGGGGATGAATCTGTTGGAGCAACTAAAGATGGTAAATCCGACAGTGTCTTCATCTGTAGTGTATCTGACGATGACTCTATAGGCTCGGCTAGTGATTTAAAGGCCAGAATTAATGATGAATATGATTATGACAACTGTGACCGTGGAGACATCTCTGAAACCATAAGTTCCTCAGTATACCATGCTGAGTGTGAGAGTGTCACTACCCATGAGGAAGATCCACAGATAGCAGAGGGGGGTGATCCTTCACAGCTTGTACGACGCGGACCAAAGCCAAGTAAGGCAGCCATGCGAGCCCGTGCTCGAGCTCTCCAAGAACAAGAGAACAGAAAATGTGCCCAAGATAGACTATTAGGACATGAGTATGGAGAGAAACCTCTCCTTCAAGATGATGAACTGGATTCAGGAGAAGAGGAGAGCAAACTCTCTGATGACCAAGAAGATCAGCATGTAGAACAACAACCTGCACAGCAGCCAGACCAAGTGACAGTGCGTTCCAACATTTTTCACGTTCCAAGGCCATTTAGGAAAACTTCCTTAGATGAATCTCAGAGGCAGCGGGAATGTGCAGGTGATGAAGATGTTTTCGCCTTAGCTCCTTTTAAAACTTCACTTAAAAAGTTTAACAAAAAAGTCTTTCAGACACGTAGTCAACCATCAAGTAACACAGTCTCCCCTTTAGAGTCATCGAGCCAGCCCATTATAACGCCCCCAATGGCAAACAGTTCCCCAGCTCCTGTTCACATAGGCAGCCCAGAAGTACTAGAGCAAGTAGGTGAGCCAATTAGAATTCCTGTTCAAGCTGATATCATTTATGAGGAATCTCCAAGTGAGGAGTATCCTATATATGAAAATGTTGTCTTGAATCCAAGTGGCAGTAGTATAGAAAATGGCACAATAACTCCTGGTTATCACCATTATGAGAATGTCCCTGTACCTTTTCACATAACTGCAGTTGTAGAGTCATTATCAATTGTTAATTCTGTTACAACTAAAAATCCATTTGTTAATCCTTTTGTCAATGAGAGTCCAGTTGCAGCTGGACTGGTAGTAGCTCAAGAGCCGCTAGCACACTTGCCAAGTCAGTCGGGAAGGTCGCCTGCTCATACCGAACAATCCTTGTCCGGAGCACCACTTAAAATTTTTCAGCCCGGCCAAGGTGTAATGTCCCAAAGTTTAGATTCTCTCACTCCCAACTCAACTGCAGGATCTGTGAATTCACCCTCTTTTCAGAGTACAGACCTCTTTGGATCAACACCTTTTAATGATGTCACAATATCAACAACTCCATCTAGTGATACCAAAGAATTTTCATCTCACAGTCAAACAGTCTTAAATGGTGTTGCACAGTTTAGCAGTCCCAGTCAGTCACAATATTTCAGCCAGTCAGATGTTACCTCACATATGCCTATGCACACTTCTACTCCCCGTGCTCTCAAAATCCATCCCACTTCTCGTGGGAAAGAGGGAAATTTGGCAGACCTCGATGATGCTGATTTATTTGGCGCTGTACCATTTAAACCAGTTATAGGACAGCGAACTAGCCAGATGGCTGGTGGAAAAAGTCAAACATTGCCAGCTAATATGAGCTCTGCTCTTCAAGCACAAATGGCTCAGATGGCACGTGATGATGGTCACATGGAAAAGTTTTTTGGAGAGTTTAAAGTCTCCAAATCGGTGAAGAAGTCAACACCCCCTAGTTTCCGCAAACCCAGAACTACACACCAAAAACTCTCAGACTCTGACACGTCCAGTGATGAAGGTGCTGTGGCAGCCAATAGAAAACCTAGGCATAGAGATCGTAGTAAAGATAGATTAAAATATAAGAACATTAGTGAAGAATTTGAAGAAGAAAATATGATGGTGCTTCCAATGAAACAATTTGGGCATTCTAAAAAGGAAAAAATTAGCAAGAAAAGTAAAAAGCTTGAGAAGTTAGATAAGAAAGTTGACAAACCAGAGAAAAGTGTAAGTTTTGAGTCTGTTGGAATTTCTAATATGAGTTTTGAGGACTTTACCCTAGAAGATAACCGGCGTGAGGCTGATAGAAATCGCCGGGAATTAGAAAGGAGCAGACAAGAGGCAGGAGGTGGAGATTCCCTTCAGAGTCCCGAGGAAGATGACTCTGATCTAAGAACCACTGGTGGCACACGCTTTGGATCACTGAAACGAGGCATCAATCCTTTCTCCAAGTTAGGACGCTAAGAGTGACTTGATAATCGCTGAAATGTCGTAGCATATACCTTTCATGGATGTATTTGCTTGAGACTATTAATCTTATGTTCATTAATACAGTGTTTTGAAGGAGTGTGTGTGCTAACACCAGGGTACAGAATCTTTAGTAAATTATTTGTAATATAATAAACTTACAAAATAGGCATAATTATTTCAGCATTATAATAAAAACAAATTTTTATACAGTGAAATTATGCTTTTATAAATGATGTGTTGTTAGTCCTTTTCAAGGGTGTTGGTTTACTGGAGAACTTTGTGGCGTCCATTAGTGGTTGATGATGTCTCCACCAACACTGATGAAATAACTTTATGGCATCCATTAGTGGTTGATGACATCTTTACCAACACTGGTAAAGCAACTTTGTGGCATCCATTAGTGGTTGATGACATCTTTACCAACACTGGTAAAGCAACTTTGTGGCATCCATTAGTGGTTGATGACATCTTTACCAACACTGGTAAAGCAACTTTGTGGCATCCATTAGTGGTTGATGACATCTTTACCAACACTGGTAAAGCAACTTTGTGGCATCCATTAGTGGTTGATGACATCTCCACCAACACTGATCAAATAACTTTGCATATCACATATCTATTTGACACTGAATTATAATATGGAGGTGAGTGTAGGTTCCTCTCAAAGTCTCAAGTTATCTATCAGTTTGTTATTATCACCAGAACACATAATACAGTATTGAACTTATCTCTGATGGCCTCAGAAAGGAATTTACTCTTTGTGATTGTAACAAATCCTTAGAAACACAAGTGCTGATTTTTTCTTCATTAAGCAGAAATAGTGAACTGAAATGCCACCTCAATAAATTTATAGCTATAAACCATAATGTAAAAATAAACCAGTGCTGACAAAGTTGGCCAAATACTTGGTAAATTTATAGCTATAAACTATAATATTATGTAGAAAAAAAACCTGTGCTGACGAAGTTGGCCAAAATCTCCAAATTCCACACCACACCCAGAGCCACAAATACTCGAATGCATCTCTGTAATGTGAAGTAAAGTTGAGTTTCTCTTGTGCAGGTATATTCTTATGAATTCTGCTGAGACACAGCCTTAGTGCAGCAATATTATTTTTGCTGGATAGTTGTATGTGGCAGGTGTGTTGGTGCTGGAATACTGACTGACTGATTCATGAGTATAATGTACTGCATTGTCCAACAGAGGTGATTATAATTTGCTAATATTGCTTTCTCATTGAGAAAGTGTTTTGTAGAAGTTTAATTTGCATTGGATAATTTGATAAAAAGTTTGCTCAAGTGTAATCTTGACTCCTCAACTCATACATAACAAAATTTCAGTTTGTATAATAACCTCGGTGGGAAACAGCTGATGTGTTAAAAAATAAATTAATATAATTTTATTTGACAAGATGACAAAGAAATATACCTAAAAGGTATTACCGCTTTATTTTATATAAAACTGTATTATGTTTTAATTTTAATTCAGCAGTGATCATTGTTGCAGACATTATACAATGATCATTGTTGCAGACATTATACAATGATCATTGATTCAGACTTGACATGATCATCGTTGCAGACATTATACAATGATCATTGATTCAGACTTGACATGATCATCGTTGCAGACATTACATGATGTTCATTGTTGCAGATGTTATATAAACACAAAGATTATTCTTCTGTTTATGACACTATTTAACTTTGGAGAAGTCATGAAGAGACAGCTCCAAGTTTTCAGTAGTATCACATTTTATTCTTGAATTCAAATACGTATTTAGGTTAGAATTTTGATACATTATTTATTTTGAATGTTTTTTCTCTCTGGGTAATTTGTTGGTTAAAATAGTAATGAAGTAGATACATTGAAAAAATAAAACATATTTTTTAAATGAGAATAAATTGCACTGGAGTACAGTAGTCAGGACAGACCAAAGTAGTGAGTGGCAGTGTAACTCAGTCCTCATCACCTCTTAATGTTTTTGGAAACTTGCTGACAGTGAAAGAGTATATTAATATACAGTATATTATTAGGTTAGGACCAAAATCATGCACAACTGTCTGGTTATGAATTGTAAATATACTGCAGTACATTATTATTATTCTTAACTCTGTGTCAAAGTCTAATTTAGTTATATACTGCTACAGTATTTTCCTCTCTGTATACTAGAGATAATCATGCAGTATGCTGTTATAAACCACTGCAATGTTTTTGTATATATGTACTGCAGATAATACTAATTCAGCATGCTACTATAAACTGCTGCAAAGTTTTTCTCTATACTGAGGTAATTCTGTAATTCAGTAGTATGCCATTATAGACTGCTGCAATATTTACTCTTATGTATGGAGAACAATAATGCAATATGCTGTAGCACATGTTCGTCAAATCACTAAATTAATTTCACTGACACTAAATTATTGGTGGTGTGCAGTAACATCCAGAAAAGATGAGGGGCAAGATTACTTCATTCAAAAAGGAAGATATGAGAGTTTCTTATATTTAATTATATAGCCTCTCCTCACTTAACGACACACTCATTTACTGATGCCTCAGACTTATGACAGGCTCTCTGACTAGTATTTATACCTAAATAATGTATATTGGAGTTGATTTCCTCTATTCTGTTTATTTCAATATACAGTACACTACTGTATAAACATTTAAAAATATACCAGAAATGTTATAAATGGTGTAAAGGTGACATTAAAACAATACCAAAGATGGTTGACACAAACCCACTAACATTATAATATGCTCCTCACTTCGCGATGAATTCGTTTAACAACAAAAAAAGGCATAATACCGTGAGGAGAGGTTGTATTTAAATTTGAATGCTTTGAATGAGAATATTGAGAGTAGTGAATAACTAAACTTTACCAGTCCTCTGCGAAAGCTCACTGATCGCCAGAGTGTACTTATCACATGTGGTTATCATTCCTTCGTGGACCAGTGGCCTTTGCTGCAGTCCTCCTCATATTTTATTAGGCATCCAGTTTACTTTTAAATTACTCTCATTCTTTCAGATAAACCTTAGTTAATCATACTTACTCTTCTTCACTGAAACTCCCCCAGCCCTTTTAGCTTTGTTTCACTCAGTGCTAAGACATCTAGCTTTTCAATCATAACATTAATAATTAATCAGTTTGTTAGTATCTGTCCTACAAGCACACACACATTCCCAAAAACTCCACTCAGAAATTTCCTTTATCTTTTTTAGTAATTACTGGCCCGTAGCTCCCAGAATTTTATTCACCTTCTACTATATGCATTGCTTGTGGAAGAAGGAGTTTAATCCATTTTCCCCTGAAATTTGAAAGGAAATACAAGAGGGATGAGGTGGAAATTACATTTTATACAATCTGAAGGAGGGGTGGAGATGTTAGAGTTCAGATGGTCATTTGAATTGTAATAGTTGTGCACCTCTGGCAAGACAGCTATTGAATGAATGATGATGATTTATTTTTTTTTATCATCCTGTTCTGGTGGAAGATGGTTGATGTGGTAACTTAATATGTAGTCTACTCACCTATTTGTGGTTGCAGAGGTCAGTTCTCAGGCCTTGACCCCCACCTCTTAACTTCCCACTCTTTGGATTCACTCCCTTTTAGCCTTGTGGGCCCTATCATACCTGTTCTTAAAATAGTGTATGGAGCCTTCCTCTACCACTTCCTCACCAAAGTCATTCCATTTCAGACTTCTGAGTCTGAAGAAATACATCTTAACATCCTTGTGGCTCATTTGTCCCTTTAACTTCCAGTGGTGTCACTAAGTTCCCATTTCTCAAACAGCCTATCCCTATTTACCTTATCAATTCCTCTTGAGTGTATTGTATGTTGCTATCATGTCCCCCCTGGTTTTCTGTCCTCCAGTGTTGTTAGGTCTAATTCCATTAGCCTGTCCTTGTAGTTCATGCCTCTTAGTTCAAGAACAGTCCTTGTTGCATATGCACTTTCTCCAGTTTCTTAACATGCTTTTTCAGGTGCAGGTAATACATGTGTATTTGAATATGAGTTAGTGTATGACAGTAGTCACGTGTGTGTGTACTCACCTATTTGTGGTTGCAGGGGTTGAGTCATAGCTCCTGGCCCCGCCTCTTCACTGATTGCTACTAGGTCCTCTCTCTCCCTGCTCCATGAGCTTTATCATACCTCGCCTTAAAACTATGTATGGTTCCCGCCTCCACTACTTCACTTTCTAGGCTATTCCATAGCTTGACTACTCTATGACAGAAGAAATACTTCCTAACATCCCAACATGTGTGTACTCACCTAGTTGTACTCACCTAGTTGAGGTTGCGGGGGTCGAGTCCGAGCTCCTGGCCCCGCCTCTTCACTGATCGCTACTAGGTCACTCTCCCTGAGCCGTGAGCTTTATCATACCTCTGCTTAAAGCTATGTATGGATCCTGCCTCCACTACATCGCTTCCCAAACTATTCCACTTACTGACTACTCTGTGGCTGAAGAAATACTTCCTAACATCCCTGTGATTCATCTGTGTCTTCAGCTTCCAACTGTGTCCCCTTGTTACTGTGTCCAATCTCTGGAACATCCTGTCTTTGTCCACCTTGTCAATTCCTCTCAGTATTTTGTATGTCGTTATCATGCCCCCCCTATCTCTCCTGTCCTCCAGTGTCGTCAGGTTGATTTCCCTTAACCTCTCCTCGTAGGACATACCTCTTAGCTCTGGGACTAGTCTTGTTGCAAACCTTTGCACTTTCTCTAGTTTCTTCACATGCTTGGCTAGGTGTGGGTTCCAAACTGGTGCCGCATACTCCAATATGGGCCTAACATACACGGTGTACAGGGTCCTGAATGATTCCTTATTAAGATGTCGGAATGCTGTTCTGAGGTTTGCTAGGCACCCACATGCTGCAGCAGTTATTTGGTTGATGTGCGCTTCAGGAGATGTGCCTGGTGTTATACTCACCCCAAGATCTTTTTCCTTGAGTGAGGTTTGTAGTCTCTGACCCCCTAGACTGTACTCCGTCTGCGGCCTTCTTTGCCCTTCCCCAATCTTCATGACTTTGCACTTGGTGGGATTGAACTCCAGGAGCCAATTGCTGGACCAGGTCTGCAGCCTGTCCAGATCCCTTTGTAGTTCTGCCTGGTCTTCGATCGAGTGTATTCTTCTCATCAACTTCACGTCATCTGCAAACAGGGACACCTCAGAGTCTATTCCTTCCGTCATGTCGTTCACAAATACCAGAAACAGCACTGGTCCTAGGACTGACCCCTGCGGGACCCCGCTGGTCACAGGTGCCCACTCTGACACCTCGCCACGTACCATGACTCGCTGCTGTCTTCCTGACAAGTATTCCCTGATCCATTGTAGTGCCTTCCCTGTTATCCCTGCTTGGTCCTCCAGTTTTTGCACCAATCTCTTGTGTGGAACTGTGTCAAACGCCTTCTTGCAGTCCAAGAAAATGCAATGTGTGTGTGTGTGTGTGTACTCACCTATTTGTACTCACCTATTTGTGGTTGCAGGGGTTGATTCATAGCTCCTGGCCCCACCTCTTCGCTGATTGCTACTAGGTCCTCTCTCTCCCTGCCCCATGAGCTTTATCATACCTCGCCTTAAAACTATGTATGGTTCCTGCCTCCACTACGTCACTTTCTAGGCTATTCCACGGCCTGACTACTCTATGGTTGAAGAAATACTTCCTAACATCCCTTTGATTCATCTGAGTCTTCAACTTCCAATTGTGACCTCTTGTGTCTTTGTCCCTTCTCTGGAGCATCCCGTCTTTGTCCACCTTGTCTATTCCGCGCAGTATTTTATATGTCGTTATCATGTCTCCCCTGACCCTCCTGTCCTCCAGTGTCGTCAGGCCGATTTCCCTCAACCTTTCTTCGTAGGACAATCCCCGTAGCTCTGGGACTAGTCTTGTTGCAAACCTTTGCACTTTCTCTAATTTCTTGACGTGCTTGACTAGGTGTGGATTCCAAACTGGTGCTGCATACTCCAGTATGGGCCTGACGTAAATGGTATACAGAGTCTTGAACGAATCCTTACTGAGGTATCAGAACGCTATCCGTAGGTTTGCCAGGCGCCCGTATGCTGCAGCAGTTATCTGATTGATGTGCGTCTCAGGAGATATACTCGGTGCTATACTCACCCCCAGATCTTTTTCCATGAGTGAGGTTTGCAGTCTTTGGCCATCTAAACTATATTGTGTCTGTGGTCTTCTTTGCCCTTCCCCAATCTTCATGACTTTGCATTTGGCAGGGTTAAACTCAAGGAGCCAGTTGCTGGACCATGCTTCCAGCCTGTCCAGGTCTCTTTATAGTCCTGCCTGATCCTCATCCGATTTGATTCTTCTCATTAACTTCACATCATCTGCAAACAAGGTCACTTCTGAGTCTATCCCTTCTGTTATGTCATTCACATATACCAAGAACAACACAGGTCCTATGACTGACCCCTGTGGAACACTGCTTGTCACAAGCTCCCACTCTGACGCCTCGTCACGTACCATGACTCGTTGTTGCCTCCCTGTCAGGTATTCTCTGATCCATTGCAGTGCCTTTCCTGTTTTGTGTGCCTGATCCTCTAGCTTTTGCAGTAACCTCTTGTGAGGAACTGTGTCGAAGGCCTTCTTGCAGTCCAAAAAAATGCAGTTGATCCACCCCTCTCTCTCTTGTCTTACTTCTGTCACCTTGTCATAAAACTCTAGTAGGTTTGTGACACAGGATTTTCCTTCCCTGAAACCGTGCTGGTTGTCAATTATACACTTGTTTCTTTCCAGGTGCTCCACCACTCTCCTCCTGATGATCTTCTCCATGACCTTGCATAATACACGTTAGTGATACAGGTCTGTAGTTTAGTGCCTCATGTCTGTCTCCCTTTTTAAAAATTGGGACTACATTTGCCATCTTCCATACCTCAGGGAGTTGCCCAGTTTGAAATGATGTGTTGAAGATCTTTGTTAATGGCACACACAATATCTCTGCTCCCTCTTTAAGGACCCACGGAGAGATGTTGTCTGGTCCCACCGCCTTTGAGGTGTCAAGTTCGCATAGCAGCTTCTTCACTTCCTCCTTGGTTATATGTACCTCATCCAGCACTTGCTGGTGTACCCCCCCCTGTTCTGATTTCCTGGAGTCCTACTGGTTTCCACTGTAAATACTTCTTTAAATCTCGTGTTGAGCTCCTCACATACCTCTCGGTCGTTTCTTGTGAATTCCCCATCACCCTTCCTCAGTCTGATTACCTGGTCCTTGACTGTTGTTTTTCTCCTGATGTGGCTGTACAACAGCTTTGGGTCAGTCTTGACTTTCGATGCTGTGTCATTTTCATATTGTCACTGAGCCTTCCTTCATATCTGTGCATATTCATTTCTGGCTCTTCAGCTAATCTCTTTATTTTCCTGAGTTCTCTGTCTTCCGTACCTTTTCCATTCTCTAGTACACCTAGTTTTTGCCTCCCTACACCTTTGGGTGAACCAAGGACTCGTTCTGTTCTTCCCATTATTTCTGTTTCCCTTGGGAACAAACCTCTCCTCTGCCTCCTTCCATTTTGTTGCCACATAGTTCATCATTTCTTGTACTAGTTTTCCTGTCAGTTCCCTCTCCCACTGAATGTTTTGAAGGAAGTTCCTCATGACTGAGTAGTTCCCCCTTTTGTAGTTTGGTTTTTCCCACCCTATTCCTGCTACTCTCTCCACTTGGAGCTCAACTATGTAGTCGAAGCACAGAACCACGTGATCACTAGCTCCCAGGGGCCTTTCATACAAGATATCCTCGATGTCCGAACTACTCAAGGTGAATACAAGGTCCAGTCTTGCTGGTTCATCTTCTCGTCTCTCTCTGGTAGTGTCTCTAACATGTTGATGCATGAGGTTTTCCAGTACCACATCCATCATCTTGGCTCTCCATGTTTTGGGACCCCCATAGGGCTCCAGGTTTTCCCAGTCAATCTCCTTGTGCATAATTGAAATCACCCATAACTAGTAACTTTGCTCCCCCCATGTGTGCTCTCCTGGCCACCTCGGCTAGTGTGTCGACCATTGCTCTGTTTTGTGTGTGTGTGTGTGTGTGTGTGTGTGTGTGTGTGTGTGTGTGTGTATGTGTGTGTGTGTGTGTGTGTGTGTGTGTGTGTCTGTCTGTCTGTCTGTCTGTCTGTCTGTGTCTGTACTGTACTGTACTGTGCTGTATTTCCTGGAATGCAGGCAAAAGAGATACATGATAATATACACTTGGAAAATCCTAGAGGGATTAGTACCGAACTTGCCCCCAAAAATCACTCTCTATGAAAGCAAAAGACTCGGCAGGAAATGCAACATTCCCCAATGAAAAACAGGTACCACACATACACTGAGAGACAACACAATAAATGTCAAGGGCCCAAGACTATTCAACTGTCTCCCAGCATACATAAGGGGGATTACCAATAGACCCCTGACTGTCTTCAAGAAGGCACTGGACAGGCACCTAAAGTCACTACCTGACCAGCTGGGCTGTGGTTCATAATTCAAATTCAAATTCAAAGTTTATTCTATATAAGGATTACAATGCTGAGTTTACAGAATTTGGTTATTGTGTGGTTTACATGTAGTAAAATAATAATTACAGAGTGTACCACTAGAACACCTAGCATGGCTAGGCATTTCAGGCAGACTTAAATCTTAAGTTTAAAATATTACAAAATTATGAGGTAAGTTGGTATTATGGCTAAGTGACTAAATACTAGTTTGTGAGTTTAGCAATGTAAATGCTTTTGTTTTGGCACTATACATAGTTTCAGTATTGGAGTATCACAGGCCAACTTATGACTAGTTAAGATTCATTATTTTGAGATTGAGATTGATATTTCTGTTTATGGTCAAATGGGTGAGTGAGTGTAAGTGTTAACCACCAGGTGGTATTCGTGTAATTAGTTGACAGGGTGTATCAGGGTGATAAGATGTTTTCTGATGGTAGTTTTGAAGGTGATGAATGTGTCTGCAGTTTTAGAATTTTCAGGTAGGGTGTTCCAGATTTTAGGGCCTTTGACATACATACGTCAGTTTGTGTGTAGCCAGCAGTAACAGCCTGGTTGATCAGACCCTGATCAACCATGAGGCCTGGTCTCAGACTGGGCCATGGGGCTGTTGATCCCCGCAACCCTCTCCAGGTATACTGTAGTGTCTGTGTCTGTATCTTTATCTATCTGTCCCTTGTTCTTTGTAATGGATGTGTTCCAGGCCCTTGGTACATAAAGTGAAATAGCATAAATTGAACCTAGTTTAACCTGTACTGTACATACAACATAATAATACATTGTGAGACCTCAAATTTCATATTTCTCAACTTATGAATTTGGTAAAAGAAAAAACTGGGAATGGTTGGGAGAGAATATGACATATATAACCTGGACTAATAGGCCTACTGCAGCGCTCCTGTGTTCTTATTTAGGGTAGCAATGGTTTAGCAATAATTATTTATGAGTGGGAATGGTTGAGAAGTGTAGGACTTACCTAGTGCTGACTATTAGACCTGCTGAGCTTGGCTGATTGCTTCTGAGACAGTATATTCCACACAGTGAATTACTGGTAGAAATTGGGTCATCACATATAAGTAAATTCACATAAGATGAACCTATATAGAGTGAGAGGGAAAAAACAACTGTGTTGAAGAACATGACACATGTGCAACACTTGGGTATCTTTATTTTGGTGAAGATGTTACACTCTCAGTCCAATCAGAGAATAAATAATGATGACAATGCTACAAGTGGAGAAGTAATTTTGTGGTTTTTAGTGCTTTAGCTTTGATCAAGACTGAGGGACTGAAAACCTCAAAATTAGATAGATAAGCTGATAGATATTGAGTTACTGCTGAAATGACTGAGAAGACATTGGCATATGGCAGGTGTGATACTCTGCTGTATAAGGGTGTGTATTTTTTTTAAGTTTGGATGACATTATTCACAAAACATTCCATTATATTTTGAAAAATAATACATTCCATGAGAACTAGTGACATGCCTTTCAGTTTGTTTCAATCATGTATTTATTTTAGTTTCAATCGGTTTAATTGCCAGCATAAATGTAGTAATTTTTCAAGAGGCAATTGGACTAGTTCTTGCAATAAATATCTTGCCAGCCAGGTTATGATTGCTCTGTAGCCTACTGGTTGATGGCAGTGATTGCCTGGTTGATCAAGCAGTCAACACAGGAATCTGATGTTTGATTGATAGTAGGATCCTTGAAACATGCCACAGGTACTATGTACTGTGACGTATGCAACATTTGGGTATCTTTATTACCCAGGTGTTGCATATGTCTCTTATTTGTCAGTCTGTCAGTATTGGATACATCAACAATATGGTATAAGTACTAAGTGCCACTCTAAAGGGTCATTACCAATCACAGCACCTTATATTGTTTAAAATTATGATCAAGTTATTTCAATAAGTTTTTTGCAAAATACGTACTTATAAAACTTGAAAATTTAGAGTCACAATACTGTGGCTGGAACAATTCACAACTAATCCATAATTTGAAGATAAAATTTACAGGACATTTTGGTCCCTTCTGGACCAAAACATTGTGCAAGCTTTATTTCCAAGTTCTGGGTCACTTGTGATTTAGTTGTCAGTGGTATGGTGGTACTGACACGCTGCAGAAGAGGACCCCTGTGTACGCCCCAGAATATTTATGAAAGGAAATGTTTCACAACAAATGTCTCCATCATTAGAACTGGTAAAACCATGAGTGGTGAAACATTTGCATTAATAAATATCCTGAACTGTAATTACAAGTGTCTTTTTCCACACTTGTGATTTATTAAACTTCAGGAAGAGGCAACTTATTTTCAACAATGCTGAATATTTTAATTATATCATTGTTTGCAGTCCAATATTTTTAATATTACATACAAATTCTTCATTGATTATTTTGTACTTGTCAACTTGTGCTAGCTTTATATTTAGTAACTCATACGTCACTGAAAGCAAGTTTCTAAAATCAATAATATTATGTTAGAGGTCTTTAGTGTAAAGCAGCATCATATCCAGACAATGCATTTCCTAATAATTGAAATACTTAAAAAGCTGCCATTTATACAAACTACAATTTTAATATTTTTTTAAAGAACTTTGATTGTTCAAAAAATATCACAAAATTTATTTTTCAACATTGTGTTTTCAATGGTATGTTTTGTTAACTATATTTGTTTTATATTCTGTGATTCACTTTGAAAGACTGAGGATTAATTCTCTAGAAAATTGTGCTATGAATGTGGAGTCAGGTATGCAGCTGGTATTTTGATTTTTTATATGTAGCAGTTTATGCACTTTTGAGTTGCCTGCTAAATTAATCTCACATAATAGAACCATTAATATATTCTAGTTAATTTGTAGTTTGTGTAATCTTTTATTGTCTTTTGTTATATTACACTTGCAGTGACTTGTCAAGCCTCGTCTTCTCAGTAACATTGTATCATCTATCACAGTAGTACACTAGTATGACAGGAAAGTTAAAAACTGACTAAATGAAAGCTGATACTCTGTCTTAATTCAGTATGACTTAAGGAAAACATGAGTGTGTGTGTGTGTGTGTGTGTGTGTGTGTGTGTGTGTGTGTGTGTGTGTGTGTGTGTGTGTGTGTGTGTGTGTGTGTGTAATTATACCTATGTGTAATTCTCTTGACTATAGTAGTACTTTCAATTATCTTATCATACAATATTAATAATTATATAATACTTTCTGTTTACACCAAATCTATATTTGCTAGATGTGTAGTGGGGAAGAATACACAACTGTATTGTGCATAGTTCTTGCAGAAATTTTATTAATGGCTAATCTTAGTGTAAATCTAAGAAAAAATCAAAATATATTAGTTGAATATGTATATGGTTAGGTAATGAGTTCAGAACAGAAAAATGGAAATAATTTTATATTGATTATTGTGGAAGGATATGAATACAATATTTTAGAAAGTTTCCAATGGCTGTGAAAGCCCTAGCACGTGAAGTCACACTTCACACTTCTTCCATCTTATATAGGCAACTCTTCATTGTCTAGAGACATGTGACCCTCATGTCTGCATCCCTCCATAATGTAGCACTATATGACCCTGACATTTTTGGGGATTATCATTCAGTAATAATAATCTTTAGTGATAAACTACCAAAGGCTTAACCTTAAACTCAGTTGCTGTATCACCACTAAAATACAAGACATCTGTAGTCGCCTTAAAATTTGGAGCAGTCTTATTCTTGGCAGATATGGTAACCACTTGCAATACAGCTAAGTTTGGTTAACATTCGAACACTTTGTGATGTGTAGCTGCCACCACCTATGATTTGTTTCAGAACATTTAGATGAAGAGTCAACAGCTTTGGAATCAACCCTTTCAGGGTTGGTGCCATACTAGTACAGCTTGCACGCCAGGGTTAGTGCCGTACTAGTACAGCTTGCACGCCAGGGTTGGTGCCGTACTAGTACGCATAAATTCTAACGCCTTCAAATCTAGCGAGAGAAAGCTGGTAGGCCTACATATGAAAGAATGGGTCTGTGTGGTCAGTGTCCGCAGTATAAAAAAATCCTGCAGCACACAGTGCATAACGAGAAAAAAAACTCCGACTGTGTTTTTGGTTTAAAACAGCGACTTTGCAGTGTATTTTCATATGTTATTTAAGATTATATTCTAGTTTTCCTGGTCTCATTTTATAGAATGGAAGACATATTACGGAAATTAAGATAATTTTTATTGGTTTTACAATGAAAAGTACCTTGAAATTGAGCTCGAAGTAGCAGAAATGTTCGATTTTTGCTGAAGTTCAAAAGTAAATAAATCAAGCCATGTGTCCAATACACGTCAACTGGTGAGTCTAATATTCTTTCACAAGTGTGCTGATATTACTTATATCATTTCTACCCCATTTCTACACTAATGCAGTATTCTGCATAACAGTAAATCTTCTATTTTTTGTGAGAATAAAAATTCAAAGTGGAAAGCAAAAGAAATGTAACAGAGGCCTGGGGATGTGACTAATGAACAGAGGAAATGTTATTTTAGTTATGTTAGTTTTATGTTATGTTAGTTTATGTTATGTTAGTTAGTTATTCTGGACTCTATTTGGAAATTGGTATCTTTTGAAATTTGTGTGAAATTGGCAAAATTGCCAATTTCAGACCACTTTATTGGATAGTTGAAATCGGTAAATGGGTGGTTTCTTGTACTCATTCGATAGAAAAAATGAAGTTCTAATGAAATAGTTATGATTTTTGTTGACTGGTACATTGGAATTGGCCGAAAATAGGGCTCAAAGTGGACGAAATCGTCAATACGTAAACATCGTCAAGACCTCTAACTTCGCGAGAGCATAATTCCGTAAGTTTTCCATCAAATTTCATACTTTTGGTGTCATTATGATCGGGAAAAGATTCTCTATCATTTCATTAGGAAAAATAATTTTTTTTTTTCGAAAAATTTCCGACCCTGAGAACAAGTTTAGAAGAGGGCCTGCCAACCCTGAAAGGGTTAACACTTGCAGCTACACTTACAAGAGATTAGATAGATTTTGCCACTGAAGTGGCTAGTTTATTGTGCACCCCATATCCATCCTGTGGATGGTAGCAGAAGGGCATATGGATACACAAAAGGCCTAGGACCTAGGCCCCAAAAGGGTTAACAGGTGTACATATGGGTTTATATTTACATATCTACAGTTTACTTATCTGTTACAAGCAAATTTAGGAAATTTCCTTAGTATATGTGGTATCTTATTTTCATTAATAAGATATCTTGACATGTCACATAAGTTATTATACTGTCTGTCTCTGTATTCCTCAATAAGTGGACAATTAAGCACATAGTGTTCAAGACAGTGACCATATGCCTGATCACATAATTTGCATTTAGTAGTTTGATGATCATCTGTGTGTCTCCCAAACTGCCAGAAGTACTTGTAACCAAGCCTAATTCTGGCCACTACAACATCAGTCAGTCTGTTCACATTACAACTTGCTCCATAACCATACTTATCTACATTCATGTTATCATAGTGGGTTATAGATCTACTCAGGCTTCTAACTGCATTCCTATAACAATCATTTTCATTATTTGCTTCCTAATATTATTCCTAATGCTAGACACAGATATACCAAAGTTATATTCTACATTCTCCTGGGTACTCTTCTTGGCTAACATATCAACTTTATCATGAAGGAGTAATCCAATGTGTGATGGGATCCATAGCAATTGTACATTAATTCCTTTGTCCCGGATTTTTGAGTATCTATACCTGGCTTCTCCAGTGAGCATGTTGTTGGAGTCATTATATGAGTCAAGAGCCTTCAATGATGACATAGAATCAGTAATGATGATAGAGTCAAGTTCAGTGTCATAAGTTAGCTTTAGCGCCATTAGGATTGCAAACAATTCAGTTGACAGTGTAGACGCCCAGTTGTTAATTCTTATGCCTAGTTCAACAAGTTTATTATCGTTCTTAACTAGGGAGGTGGCAACAAGAGCAGATGCAGCCCTGCCAGAAGACTCCTGTTTAGACCCATCATTGTATATAACTTGTGATAACTTATTACTACCAGCTAGGCGAGAAGTTTCTTCTTGAGCAGTTGTTTTAACAAGTGATTTAAGGAAGGATTACTAGCAATGAGCTTCTTGGAAGGGACTTGCAGGTATGTGGTATTAAATGAACACAACTTCCATGGAGGGGTGAAATGCTCTTGTTGTCTACAGTGATACAGTTCATGCAGGTTATAAAACTTTATGTAATTGCACTTACAATAGTATGAAAACTCATTATTTCTGAACTCTCACTATGCTTAAATTAATCAGTAGCAATAGCTGTTTGATAAGCCAATGTTGCAGACCACACTTCATGACCCCTACATCTTCATGTAGTTAGTGACACTTCATGACCCCTACATCTTCATGTAGTTAGTGACACTTCATGACCCCTACATCTTCATGTAGTTAGTGACACTTCATGACCCCTACATCTTCATGTAGTTAGTGACACTTCATGACCCCTACATCTTCATGTAGTTAGCCACACTTCACGATCCGTACATCTTCATGTAGTTACCCACACCTCATGACCCCTCATCATGACTCTCATATTCATGACTCCCAACATCATAATACTTTCATTATGACCCTCACATAATGACTCTCACATTATAACCCCAACATAACTATCCTAACATCACAATCCTCATGTCACAGCCCCATCATCACAACCCTCATGTCATGACCCCGAACATTATGGCCCTTATATCTCAACCACCACATGTTGTTGGTGATCGTACTTCATGACCTTCACATCACAACTGCCACATCCTGACATAGTTGGTCATATAGATAGATGGTTCAGAGAACCAGCAGGCTGATGAATTAAACACTTGTGAAACACTTAGCTATCTTTATTGTGGAAACATTTCACCAATCAGTGGCTTCCTCACTCCAATACAGAGAGAATAGTTGAAGATCAGAGGGAGTTTGAGGTAATCAGTCCCTCTGCCTGGAGTCAATGTGATCGGTCCATCAATCTTTTCAGTCATATCAGATTGATGAACTGATCACAATGACTCCAGGCTGAGGAACTGATTACCTCAAACTCCTTTTGATCTTCAATCATTCTTTTCTATAATATTATACTGAGGAAGCCACTGGTTGGTGAAATGTTTCCACAATAAAGACATGTAAGTGCTGCACGAGTGTCTAATTCATCATAGCTGGTCATGCTTTATGACCTCACTGTAGGCAAAAATATTGCTTCATTATACAGAATATTTATTAACTGCAGTAGGCACTGTTAGCCTCCCACCCTCCTGTGTTCATGTCTTCCTGAGCTTGTAAAGTTTGCTTCTCAGTGAGTACACAGCACTATGTTTCAAATGCATTAACATATTTCTCAGTTGGACTAATATAAATGCTAGCTTACTTATAAATGTTACATAGAAAAAACAAAATCATTGGAAAGGTAATTACCAGGTTAGAAAGACTTCCATCACACTATAGGCTTTAAATGATAAACACTGATACAATGTATAAATTAGCACTTCTCAAACAATTAGCTACAGCCCTCTCAAGTAAGTGCTTCCCTTCAGAGAAGATGCCTTGATACTGGTGAAGGGCTCTTGGTCCAAGGAAATGGAGGCTGCTCTTCCTTTAATTGGATCATTCCTGATTACCTCTCATTCCCCTCAGATGCTATATAACCTTCACAAGCCTAGCTCTTCCTCATGAATATTATAACAATAATGACTGGTGGATTACCTAGTAAGTTGGCTAAGAAACTGCACTAATGTTGAGTAATACAAGTCGTTAAATGATTCATCAGAACAACAGTTGTTTAGCTAAATGTTATTTGAAGTGGTTCTTTGTCATTGTTTAATACATGTAGTGGTTTTCTGTCATGACAGTGGGTCATCATAAGATTTCTTTTTTTGTGTATTAATGATGATGCAAATTTTTTGTTTGAATATAACCTCTTATAGAGGAATTTTATCTTTTGTAACTAAGAGAAAAATGCAAATGTTTGCATTAGTACCAGTAATATTATGTTTTATATGAAGTGCTAAACCCATATGGGTCATGGATTGTGAGGAGTGTTGGGGGCACGGTTTTCTGTCTAGTAATCATGAGACAGACACTACTCTCCCAGCCAGGCTTTCCCCAGTAAATATCTACACAGTTGTAAGGATTGTACCACACTGCCATTTTACATAAGACTAGCCATTTACTTGATAGTGTGATTATGAATTATTTTCCTAAGATAGTCAATAGGTCACCCATTCCTTTGCCTGTTTATCTGTACTCTTTGACTGAAATCCTAAGAAGTGAAGTCAGTACTGTTGTTTAATATTTGCTGCAGAGGCAAGGTTTGGTTTGAAAATATGGGTCAAGTTATTTTGCACAATTAAAGGGTTATGTGTAACATTATCAATAATGTATTTTATTTTGCTGTTGCTACATATTTAGATATGATTGTATAATTTATTTAGCCAGACTGACATATAAAATAAACGATCAGTTTAAATAGGTGATGCTCTAAATTATGTAGGCATATACTTATATAATTGTTCAGTTATACATGTTAATTTATTGAGGTAAACTGGAATCGCCTGTATTCAGAAGTGTAATCGTCTTGAATGCCGTTGTAAATAGTAATTCTGTAACTGATAATCTGTTTACTTCCATGAACTCTTCCTAATGAAGAATTAGCGACCACAGAAGTGTGCATGTTAAGAGAAGTGTGCCTGTGACCACAAAAGTGTGTGACCATAGGTGTGTGTGTGTGTGTGTATGTGGTCATTTAAGTATATGTATGAACATATAAGTGTGAGTGTGACCATAGAAGCGTATGTGCAACCAAGGAAGTGTGCTTTGTGAGTCACTGATGGCTGAGTGACTTAGAGAGAGAGAGAGAGAGAGAGTGTGTGTGTGTGTGTGTGTGTGTGTGTGTGTGTGTGTGTACTCGCCAAGTTGTACTCACCAAATTGTGGTTGCAGGGGTCGAGACTCAGCTCCTGATTGCTACTGGGTCCTCTCCCTCTCTGCTTCCTGAGCTTTGTCATATCTCTTCTTAAAACTATGTATGGTTCCTGCCTCCACTACTTCACTTGCTAGGCTATTCCACTTCCTGACAACTTTATGACTGAAGAAATGCTTCCTAACGTCCCTGTGACTCGTCTGAGTCTTCAGCTTCCAATTGTGACCCCTTGTTTCTGTGTCCCCTCTCTGGAACATCCTGTCTCTGTCCACCTTGTCTATTCCCTGCAGTATCTTGTATGTCGTTATCATGTCTCCCCTGACCCTTCTGTCCTCCAGTGTCGTCAGTCCGATTTCCCTCAACCTTTCCTCGTACGACATTCCCCTGAGCTCTGGAACTAGCCTTGTTGCAAACCTTTATACTTTCTCTAACTTCTTGACGTGCTTGACCAGGTGTGGGTTCCAGACTGGTGCTGCATACTCCAGTATGGGCCTAACATACACAGTGTACAGTGTCTTGAACGATTCCTTATTAAGGTATCAGAACGCTATTCTCAGGTTTGCCAGGCGCCCGTATGCTGCAGCCGTTATTTGGTTGATGTGTGCCTCCGGTGACGTGCTCGGTGTTATGGTCACCCCAAGATCTTTCTCCCTGATTGAGGTCTGTAGTCATTGTCCACCTAGCCTATACTCTGTCTGCGGTCTTCTTTGTCCCTCCCCAATCTTCATGACTTTGAAGGTTTGAATTCGAGAAGCCAGTTTCTGGACCACGTTTCCAGCCTGTCCGGGTCTCTTTGCAGTCCTGCCTCATCCTCATCCGATTTAATTCTTCTCATCAGCTTCACATCATCTGCGAATAGGGACACTTCAGAGTCTATTCCTTCCATCATGTCGTTCACATATATCAAAAATAGCACTGGTCCTAGAACTGACCCCTGTGGGACCCCGCTCGTCACAGGCGCCCACTGTGATACCTCTTCACGTACCATGACTTGTTGTTGCCTCCCTGTCAGGTATTCCCTGATCCATTGCAGTGCCCTCCCTGTTATATGCGCCTGATCCTCCGGCTTCTGCACTAATCTCTTGTGAGGAACTGTGTCAAAGGCCTTCCTGCAGTCTAGGAAAATGCAATCAACCCACCCCTCTCGTGTCTTACTTCTGTTACCTTGTCATAAAACTCCAGAAGGTTTGTGACACAGGATTTGCCTTCCATGAACCCATGCTGGTTTTCATTTATAATCTTGTTCCGTTCCAGGTGTTCCACCACTCTCCTCCTGATAATCTTCTCTATAACTTTGCATACTATACAAGTCAGAGACACAGGTCTGTAGTTTAGTGCTTCGTTTCTGTTTCCTTTCTTAAATATGGGGACTACATTTGCTGTCTTCCATTTATCAGGTAGTTGCCCAGTTTCAAGGGATGTGTTGAAGATTGTGGTTAGGGGCACGCACAGCATCTCTGCTCCTTCTCTAAGAACCCACGGGGAGATGTTGTCTGGTCCCATCGCCTTTGAGGTATCAAGGTCACTTAGCAGCTTCTGCACCTCCTCCTCGGTTGTTCGTATGTCATCCAACACTTGTTGGTATATTCCCTCTTGATGTTCCCTTCTGTGCTGTCTTCCCAGAGCCCTTCCTGTCTCTACTGTAAAAACTTCCTTAAATCTCCTGTTTAGCTCCTCACATACCTCCTGATCATTTATTGTGAGTTCTCCACCTTCTGTCCTCAGTCTGATCACCTGGTTTTTGACTGTTATCATCCTCCTGATGTGGCTATAAAACAGTTTCAGGTCAGTCTTGACTTTCGATGCTATGTTATTTTCATACTGTCGTTGGGCCTCCGTCCTTACCTGTGCGTACTCATTCCTGGCTCTGCGACTAATCTCCCTATTTTCATGTGTTCTCTGCCTTCTGTACTTTTTCCATTCTCTATTGCACTTTGTTTTTGCCTCCTTACACCGTCGGGTAAACCAGGGGCTCGTTCTGGTCTTCCCATTGTTTCTGTTGCCCTTGGGAATAAACCTTTCCACTGCCTCCTTGCATTTTGTTGTGTGTGTGTGTGTGTGTGTGTGTGTGTGTGTGTGTGTGTGTGTGTGCACGTGCACGTGTGCGTGTACATGTACTCATGGAGTGAGTTGTGTGACCATACAAGTGTGTGTGTGGCCGCTGAAGTATGTGTAATGAGTCACTGAAGGATTTGTAACCACAGAAGTATGTGTAGCAAGTCAGTAAAGGCTTTACAAAAATTAGGAAATGTGCATTTAGAACATGGTGGATTGCTGTATGTATTTATTTTAGTGGAGTTGACAGCTACGAGTTTGAAATGTGATTCGCTATTAATAAATATATTCTGTACATGAACGCCTTTTTCATTTTAATTTAATGATACCATTTTTCCAGCAAATTATAATTCAGTTAATATTGGAGACCAGTGGTTACTGTTTAGGCTCAAGGTTAAGCAAATGGTACATTTGTAGGGAGTACCATAGACTGTTACACAAATTACAATTCAAAAAGAAAAGGTCTTTTTAACATGTGAAAAAAAGTATGTATGATAGATAATACAATCACTAAAATACATTAGGAACACTAATGATTTATTAACAGTATTGAATGACTTTATTTTCCCTCTTGCTCACATAATTACATGCAGTGTGTGTTTGTTACTTGTGTCAGCATCTCAGTCTGAGGAGAACTGTTGCCTTCCATAATATATAGTGTGCTGTATTGCTTTAGCTTACAGTGAGTCAGGAAGGGTTACTTTCCTTATTGTAGAATAAGGGTATAGACCTTAAGGAAACTCGGACTCCTGCTCAAAATTCTGGATCATGGATTTCTCTGGCTACTGCTGCTACTGTTGTTGATTAATAGTAATATGTTGTTGATGAATTTGCCTTAATAGTCTATTTAAAAAAAGGTAATAAGTTCATGGTATTTATCTTGTATTTATGTATATATATTAAAATGTGAATTAAACTTGGTATGAGCATCATTGAAATTTATTTCCTACACAGCACTTAATATTAATGAGAATTTATAACTGCCATAGTTTCCTACATGCTGCAATATTTGAAAATATTTCTCTTTCAACTGTATTATATAGGAGAGATCCTTGTCAAGAATGGTTCCTTACCATAGTGAAGTGGTTCTTGGGCTGAGGAATTAGACCTTTTGTACTCTTACTCAGATGAAATTTAAATTTATTTATTTATTTATTTATTTATTTATTTCCAATTTGTGCACACATACAGAGGTACAAAAAAAATACAGATAAGAGCAGTATGCCAAAGCCACTTATACTATGCATAGCATTACGGGCTGGCTTAAAATTAACTTAAGATTAACTAAGCAATGATTATTATTATTATTATAATCAAAAAGAAGCGCTAAGCCACAATAACCTTTAACTGTCTCTCTCTCTGTTTGGCCTCATTAGTGGGTAGATTTTTGTGAAATTTCAGCACTTAGGGGGAAAAAGGGACCACTACCAGCCCTGTTCTAACATAACCTCCATAAGTAGTGCTGCAATGGTCTTGTCCTTCCACTTAATGAAAATCAGATCATATTATGGCACACCAGGCGACCCTTGAGTGAGGCGTCAAGTGGCCGTAATCTGACAGGGCCTCTGATGATGGGTATTACTGGAGGTTGCCCACTGATCCAAGAGTGGCAGTTGAAGGTGTATGACTCCCTGGCATTCATTCTAATTTATCCACCTCCATTATTTTCTGAAAAATGACTGCACAATTAGTGCTCTTGTCTAATCGGATGACTTTGCTAAGCCTTGTGCAGTCCATTCTAGAGGTGACGTTTTGGTGTTGTGCATCAGGCAGGTATAGATGTGGTTTCCAAAGAAGAACAGCACTACCTGTCACAGTGGTAGTGACTGTGGTTCTGGGTGGGTACAAGGTTTCTTTTCATTTATTCTCAGAGCTGCTCCTACCCTTCCCTTTCCCATTTTATATATGATCAGTGAGGCAATGGCTCAGTCTCCTGCATCCCCAGTAACTAGAACACCCTTTACCAGCTCCAGCATAGTTATGGACCCTCAGAGCCTGCAACCATTATCAAGTAACCACTTGTTGCCCGAACTTGATAATAGCATTCTAAGTATCCCCTCTGGTTTACCTTGACCATAAACTTGGCCTCTCTCATGAAGCACAAAAAAATTCTCTTCAATAGAGGTCCCTTGATACCAATGGGGGACTCTTGTTCCATGGAATTGGAACTGTCCTTGCTCTTCCTTGGATCAAATCTGATTGCCTTCCATTCCCCAGGTGCTGAATGATCCTTACAAGTTTAGCACTTCCCATGAATATAATGATACAGGTGGGAGCTAAACATGTAGGGGTCATGCAGCACCTGGGGAAATATAAGGTGATAATGTTTGATCCAAGGAATGGGAGGGCAGGTCCAATTCCTGACATCAAGAGCCCCTTACCAGCATCAAGGCTCCTCCATCGAGGGGTGAAGATCTGAAGTCCCAAGATTAGTGACGCAGCCAGGATTTCAATCGGAAGGACTTGACCGAGGATTCTTTCTCACCGCCATGCACGAAAGCCCAACTGCCTATTACCTGGAGTTTACCTGGAGAGAGTTCCGGGGGTCAACGCCCCCGCGGCCCGGTCTGTGACCAGGCCTCCTGGTGGATCAGAGCCTGATCAACCAGGCTGTTGCTGCTGGCTGCACGCAAACCAACGTACGAGCCACAGCCGAGCTGATCAGGAACTGACTTTAGGTGCTTGTCCAGTGCCAGCTTGAAGACTGCCAGGGGTCTGTTGGTAATCCCCCTTATGTGTGCTGGGAAGCAGTTGAACAGTCTCGGGCCCCTGACACTTATTGTATGGTCTCTTAACGTGCTAGTGACACCCCTGCTTTTCATTGGGGGATGTTGCATCGTCTGCCAAGTCTTTTGCTTTCGTAGTGAGTGATTTTCGTGTGCAAGTTCGGTACTAGTCCCTCTAGGATTTTCCAGGTGTATTTAATCATGTATCTCTCCCTCCTGCGTTCCAGGGAATACAGGTTTAGGAACCTCAAGCGCTCCCAGTAATTGAGGTGTTTTATCTCCATTATGCGCGCCGTGAAAGTTCTCTGTACATTTTCTAGGTCGGCAATTTCACCTGCCTTGAAAGGTGCTGTTAGTGTGCAGCAATATTCCAGCCTAGATAGAACAAGTGACCTGAAGAGTGTCATCATGGGCTTGGCCTCCCTAGTTTTGAAGGTTCTCATTATCCATCCTGTCATTTTTCTAGCAGATGCGATTGATACAATGTTATGGTCCTTGAAGGTGAGATCCTCCGACATGATCACTCCCAGGTCTTTGACGTTGGTGTTTCGCTCTATTTTGTGGCCAGAATTTGTTTTGTACTCTGATGAAGATTTAATTTCCTCATGTTTACCATATCTGAGTAATTGAAATTTCTCATCGTTGAACTTCATATTGTTTTCTGCAGCCCACTGAAAGATTTGGTTGATGTCCGCCTGGAGCCTTGCAGTGTCTGCAATGGAAGACACTGTCATGCAGATTCGGGTGTCATCTGCAAAGGAAGACACGGTGCTGTGGCTGACATCCTTGTCTATGTCGGATATGAGGATGAGGAACAAGATGGGAGCGAGTACTGTGCCTTGTGGAACAGAGCTTTTCACCGTAGCTGCCTCGGACTTTACTCTGTTGACGACTACTCTCTGTGTTCTGTTAGTGAGGAAATTATAGATCCATCGACCGACTTTTCCTGTTATTCCTTTAGCACGCATTTTGTGCGCTATTACGCCATGGTCACACTTGTCAAAGGCTTTTGTAAAGTCTGTATATATTACATCTGCATTCTTTTTGTCTTCTAGTGCATTTAGGACCTTGTCGTAGTGATCCAATAGTTGAGACAGACAGGAGCGACCTGTTCTAAACCCATGTTGCCCTGGGTTGTGTAACTGATGGGTTTCTAGATGGGTGGTGATCTTGCTTCTTAGGACCCTTTCAAAGATTTTTATGATATGGGATGTTAGTGCTATTGGTCTGTAGTTCTTTGCTGTTGCTTTACTGCCCCCTTTGTGGAGTGGGGCTATGTCTGTTGTTTTTAGTAACTGTGGGACGACCCCCGTGTCCATGCTCCCTCTCCACAGGATGGAAAAGGCTCGTGATAGGGGCTTCTTGCAGTTCTTGATGAACACAGAGTTCCATGAGTCTGGTCCTGGGGCAGAGTGCATGGGCATGTCATTTATCGCCTGTTCGAAGTCATTTGGCATCAGGATAACATCGGATAGGCTTGTGTTAATCAAATTTTGTGGCTCTCTCATAAAAAATTCATTTTGATCTTCGACTCTCAGTCTGGTTAGCGGCTTGCTAAAAACTGAGTCATATTTGGACTTGAGTAGCTCACTCATTTCCTTGCTGTCATCTGTGTAGGACCCATCTTGTTTAAGTAGGGGCCCAATACTGGACGTTCTCGATTTTGATTTGGCATAGGAGAAGAAATACTTTGGGTTTCTTTCGATTTCATTTATGGCTTTTAGTTCTTCCCGCGATTCCTGACTCCTAAAGGATTCTTTTAGCTTAAGTTCGATGCTTGCTATTTCTCTGACCAGTGTCTCCCTATACATTTCAGATATATTGACCTCTTTTAGCCACTCTGTTATTCTTTTCCGTCGCCTGTAAAGGGAGTGCCTGTCTCTTTCTATTTTACATCTACTCCTCCTTTTTCTTAGAGGAATAAGCCTTGTGCATACATCGAGTGCCACCGAGTTAATCTGTTCTAGGCATAAGTTGGGGTCTGTGTTGCTTAGTATATCTTCCCAGCTTATATCGATTAGGACTTGGTTTACTTGGTCCCACTTTATGTTTTTGTTATTGAAGTTGAATTTGGTGAATGCTCCCTCGTGACTAGTCTCATTATGTCGGTCTGGGGCTCCACGCATACATGCCTGAACCTCAATTATGTTGTGATCTGAGTATATTGTTTTTGATATGGTGACATTTCTTATCAGATCATCATTGTTAGTGAAGATGAGGTCTAGTGTATTCTCCAGTCTAGTAGGCTCTATTATTTGCTGGTTTAAATTGAATTTTGTGCAGAGATTTAAAAGCTCGTGTGAGTGTGAGTTTTCATCAGAGCTGCCTCCTGGTGTTATTACTGCAACAATATTATTTGCTATATTCCTCCATTTTAGGTGCCTTAAGTTGAAATCCCCCAGGAGCAAGATGTTGGGTGCAGGAGCTGGAAGATTTTCCAGACAGTGGTCAATTTTTAACAGCTGTTCCTGGAATTGCTGGGATGTTGCATCCAGAGGCTTGTAGACTACCACAATGACTAGGTTTTGGTTCTCGACCTTTACTGCTAAAACTTCCACTACGTCATTTGAGGCAATAAGCAGTTCTGTGCAAACAAGTGACTCTGCAATGTACAGGCCAACCCCCCCCCCCTTTTGCCTGTTCACTCTGTCACATCTGTATAGGTTGTAACCTGGGATCCATATTTCGTTGTCCAAGTGATCCTTTATGTGGGTCTCAGTGAAAGCCTATGGTGGCTTCTCGCTCTCTTTTTCTTAACCACTTCCAATCTCATTCTCATGCCATTGCAGTGTACACTGATGGTTCCAAGTCTTCTGACAGCGTCAGATTCGCAGCAGTGTTTTGAAACTGTCGTGCGAGGTCATTTATTATCCCAGCTAGCATTTTTACAGTTGAATTGTATGCCATTCTTGTAGGACTTATCCATATTGCATCTATGCCTGTGTCACCATTTGTGGTCATTTCAGACTCCCTTAGTGCTTTACAGGCTATATGAAAATTTGATACACCTCATCCCCTCAATCATATTCAACTTTGGTTCCGCCGTATCTCTAGCAAGCACAAAAGTGTTTTTTGTTGGATCCCCGGTCATGTTAACATACAGGGCAATGAACAGGCAGACACTACTGCATGGTCAACAGTACATGACCTCCCGGTTTCAAATAGAGGTGTTCCATTCACAGACTAATTTGCTGTAATTGCTA